TCTTCAATCAGTCCAATCAGTCGCTTCAATCAGTCCAATCAGTCCATGGTCAATTTGAACAAATTTTGAGTTGAAGAGAAAAGTGTCTTCACAACCGTGGCTGACGTCATCGGTCGACCATGGAATTTCGACCATAGGAAATTTCCTCTCCAAAAATGGCCAATCAGAAAACTGCGGGCACATTCTCTCTCTCTCTCTGCATAGTGAAGACGCAACTAACTCATAATATGTAGAGAAGGCCTCTGTTTTCTTGTGAGGGAAGGATGCAGTTGTGATCGTGTGAGTGTTTTCGAGCGGCCATTGTTTCCCGCGAAGATTTATGCCTGACAGGTGTGTGCGCTTCTCTTCAAAAATAAATTCGTCCGCCCGTGGTCGGTCAAGGAAAAGTACAGGTCGCGGTTTTGTTGTGCAGTGTAAATTCTTCCGGACGGAAGAAATCGACGCTTGCTTGACGGCGTCTNAAAAAATTGGCCAATCAGAAGACTGCGGGCACATTCTCTCTCTCCCTCTGCGGGCACAATCTCTCTCTCTCTCCATCTCTTTTTTTTCTTTTTTTCATTTCGTGCCCCACCTTCCTCCTGCGGTGCGTGCTGCATTTTTATTTTTTATCGCGAGGAGGTCCAGCCGTCCCTTTCCCTCGACAACGGCGCTAAAAATAACGTCGAAGTTTGGTACTCACGAGCTTCTCAGCTTTTTCGCTTTCACGCGCAATTGTAAATTAGATTCACCCCTTGGGGATTCGAACTCACGACTTTGCCGCTAGCGGTTTCGAGGTTTCCACCACCGGGGCGACCGGTCGATTTGTAACTATGCATATATATGCTGTGTAGAAAAGCTGCTCGTTCCCTTCGGAGGGGTGGTGCAATCATCTCGGCTACACAGAGCTGCGTGGGTCATTCGCGATATTCCCGAGAAAGCACTCTAGAGGCATTGTGCAGCAGCAGGGGAAGCAGAACGAGCGCTGCATGATGCGTACTGCAGGGGTTTGAAGATAACCGTTTCAGAAAAGGACCTCGACATCTCGACATCAGGTCCGCCTGCTCCACCGAATCAATAGTGTAGAATCCGGTTCTTGCGCCACAGCAAGCGCAGCTGCTAAAAACAACAGTGGCAAGTCTTGAAATCATCTCAGCTACACACAACTGCCGGTAATTTTCGGAGGTTCGCGTGTGCGCTGAGATCGTCTTTTGAGGCCCGATCGGGCAATGGGTGGGCTATGCGAACAAAAATGACACGGGAAAACAGACTTATGGTTTTGAGAGACCCGACCTGGAGCTTGGATATTCTGTCCACTTTCTTCGCGTTGAAGCCCTCCTCTTTCATATCTCTGGTACCCTCTCCCTCCCAATCGATTGCTCCGGGTTATCCGGCAACGGCTGCCCTTTCCCCCCGTGACTCTATCGCTCGTTCCAAAAACCGGCTCATCAAACGTATGTTTCTTTTCGTTGAAGTAGGTCACCGCCGTCCTGTTTGGTTCTTCGTTCTCCAGTGCGTGCGTCTTGTCTGCCCCGGATCGGCTCCACGAGAATCAAGGTGAAGCGAAAGTCGGAGAAAGGGTCACGCTGGCGCGCGTGGCGAGACCGGTGGACAACACGGTAGACTACATTGAACAGATTCATCAACACACAAACAGCGGTCCCCCGCGCTGCGCGCACGTACCACGCGTCCGTCGCAAGTCAACACTGGCAAGCTTATTCGCGTTCCTCAGAGGCAATCGTACGGCGACGCGGAAATCCTGTGTACCCTTGCGCCCGCAGAACCAACCAACCTCGCTCGCACACCACCGCGGGCATCTGCTCAAATTATTAAGCTCTGTCTTCAACAGGATGTGAGCCTGAGGGAAACATCGATCGCTACGTGTCCCTGACCATTAATTAAGAACCCCGGGGCGGAATCTGGACTTCAAGCACAAAAAGGGTAACTCCAAACCCTTCCGTGGAGAACATCACCATCAACGCCAAGCACCCCGTTCCTGTTCTATTTCGTGGTCTCAGACTAGGACAGCACACACGCTCTATACATTGCAGACGAGGATGCATCGAGATCCTTCCACAGACAGCGCAAACCCGCCTGCCCGAGGCCGCCCCTTCGACAAGGGCACACGACATTCCCCAAGGAAAAGAATCACATATGGGCAACAGAGTAGACCAACTCCGTTTCATCGTGTCATGGTCTGTCGCACTCTGCTGCAGCTGCGACTGGGGGAGTCTTGAGCTCCTCCGCCTGCGTAGCAAATCCCGCCGCGATCATGTCACTCAAGAGAGACTCCGCGACGTCGTCCTCTGACGCTGCCCGGCAAGCGTGTATGGCGGTCTTGTAGCACACCTCGTTCGGCGCCGTCCCCTCCTCCTTCATCTGCGCCAGCAGGGAGCACGCGTGCTGCCACTGAGGGGGATGTGCCAGGCGACACGCCTGCAGCGCCCCGTTGTAGCAGTACCTGCAGAACGTCGACGACGAAACGAAGATGGACGAATGAGAAACAAGACCCATCAACAAATGAAAGACGAACATCATACTTCCTCTGTATCATAAGTTAGGGTACCTAAATTTGTACGGGCCCTTAACCGTGTCCGATCTGTTTTTCGGTTTTTTTGTTGAAATCTTCGTAGTTTTTTTAGCAAGAAACATTTATTTTTATTTTTATGCATGCGCCACCCCGCGTGCATGAGCGGCCGAGAAAAAACCAGTCGGCCTGAAAAAGGCCGTATTTTGCATGTATTCTGCCCCCTCCGACCAGGCGACCAGGCGGGGGGGGCGGGGCAATGACAAAAACAAGGCAAAAATACCAAGAATTACCCCTGACCCTAAACCTAGCCTCCCCTCTACTCAACGATCCATGACGCGTCCCCAATACTAAAAGCAGCATAATAGTGGCCCCCACACTGAAAACAAGACACTTGGGGGGGCCACACTAAAACCAAGACACTTGCGGGGCAAAGCAAGCAACAGTAGGGCCCTCATCCAACCCCCCCCTCTACTCAACGATCCATGTCGCGCCTCCTATAAAAAAAGCAGTATAGTAGTGAGCCACACTAAAACCAAGACACTTGGGGGTCACACACTAAAATCAAGACACTTGGACGGGTACTTCTTTCCGACACCGTAGCGTTCGCAGATCGGGTCAAGCACGCCCTTGGGAATCGTTGACAACCCCGGCTGAATGCCCATCGCAATTTCTACCGCCATGGCATAGCGCCTACCAACCGATAACTCGGTGCCCCTTTTGCGAGGTGGTGTGCTGGGGGGCGATTCCATCGCTAGAGTGAGTAGTGGGCCGGTAGGGTTCTAATATCAGATGGTTTTGAGATTTTTTTCGAGAATTCTCAAAAACAATCCCATAATATTTTCTCAAAAATATTCCCAAAACAGGCCAAACTAGGGTATATTTTGACCGATATTAGGTGCAGAGATAGACGTTCGTTTTTTTATTATATTTTTTCTATCGCTTCTTCTTTGTTATATCTTTCTTACAAACCCGACTATGCTACCATCACTAACACGGTTGCACCCAGACAATCTATTGCACTTAGGTACCCTACCTTATGATACAGAGGAAGTATGCACGCATTCGCCAAAAATTGATGCATGGCCGAAAGTGGCACAATCGGAACATTATCGGACTATCAGAAAGAAACAAAGCCGGAGAGGGGGCGGAGGTAAATGCGGGAGATAGGCCAAAATATCAACCGGGAAACACGAAACGGCACGTCAATTAAGCTCGGTTTGGGGGTAACAATCACGAAAAAGGCATAGACTGGTTTGGTGTGTTGTTGATGTAATGGGTGTGGAGTGCATGCGAGTGTGGCATCGTAACTCGCTTCGTTCGAAGGCACATAGAGGTATTTCAGGCGTGGCGCAGTGTGCGGTCATAGTGCGGGTCGACTCGCTTCGCCCAAAGACACTTCACGGTATTTCGGGCGTGGTGCAGTGTGCGGTCATAGTGCGGGTCGACTCGCTACGCTCGAAGGCACTTCACGGGGTTTCGGGCGTGGTGCAGGGTGCGGTCACAGATAGACCACCTGGATGTGCTCAAAGTAAGGCAGTTAATCATGCGCAGGCAATGTGAGTCGCCCCTCTCGAGGTAATCGCTTGTTTGCTTCGTCGACAGACACACCGGTGTGATACGTTAAGTCGGGTACGCAAGAGCGTCAGCGGCAGCAGGGAGCGCCCGGGCAAGATGAGGAGAGTGTTCCCGGAGAAGGTACTGCTGTGGTGTGGTCCAGCAGACCGTTTGAATTTGGATCGCCCCCCCCCCCCCCCCCCCCCCCCCCCCCCCCCCCCCCCCCCCCCCCCCCCCCCCCCCCCCCCCCCCCCCCCCCCCCCCCCCCCCCCCCCCCCCCCC